AATAGTGATGTGAGAAATGCACCAAAGCGACTGAGAAAAACTGTAATAAGAATTCTAAAAATTACAATTATATTATTTAATATTAATTATATTATTATCATCTAACAAATTATTATAATAGCTTTAACATGCACTTGCATGGATATAAATGCAGCATTAATGAAAATATTGACATTATATTTATTAAATGTGTAAGGGGCCCCCTACTGATTGTCTTTGGAACTTACAAGAGCCAGTTTATCCACTTTCACCCTGGAATCTAAGGATATGGTGAATATTGTGGAATGGATTTTAGAAATGACCTTTGACCCTGCAAAGATTATTATTGTGTTTTGTTGTTATGCACATCAGGAAAATCAGCTGTTGCATTTTCAGGAAATTTTCAGTGGGAATTTCTTCTTTTTCTCAGCGTAATCTAACAATTGGGATGAGTGTCATTTCTCCATTTCAGTCACCGTTGATGAGATATAATTGTGTGATGAGAGACTGGTGTCCTTTTCCCTGCCCATCGGTCATTGGCCATTTGTTTTGCAGCTGTCTGCTGCTGAATAGTAAAAAAGTAAAATAACAAAAAAGAAGCAGAAAATAAAATAATAAAGTAAAATAATAAAATAAAATAAAGTATAACATAATAAATAAAATAATACAATTATATTTTAATAATAAAATGTCTGATGAGTTGACACAAACTTTACTTCTGAAGGCTAAACCTGTTAAAGGGTTACTCCACCCCAAAATGAAAATGTTGTCATTAATCACTTACCCTCATGTCGTTCCAAACCCATAAAAGCTTTGTTCGTCTTCGGAACACAATTTAAGATATTTTGGATGAAAACCGGGAGGCTTGTGACTGTCCCATTGACTGCCAAGTAACTTACACTGTCAAGGTCCAGAAAGTATAAAAGACATCGTCAGAATAGTCCATCTGTCATCAGTGGCTCAGCCGTAACGTTATGAAGCGACGAGAATACTTTTTGTACGCGAAGAAAACAAAAATAACGACTTTATTCAACAATTCGTCTCTTCTGTGTCTCTCCGCATCACCGTAGCGCCATTTTAGAGAATATCCGCTGAACGCAAGCAGTGTATTCTCTTCTGTGTCAGCCGTGCTGCACAGATGCGCTGTTTTCATTCAAATCAAAGCGTAAATAAACATAGCAAACGTATCCTTGTGTCGCGGCTGACACAGAAAAGCGTACGCTGCTTGCGTTCAGCGGATATTCTCCAAAATGGCGCTACGGTGATGCAGAGAGATATTTTGGATGAAAACCGGGAGGCTTGTGACTGTCCCATTGACTGCCAAGTAACTTACACTGTCAAGGTCCAGAAAGTATAAAAGACATCGTCAGAATAGTCCATCTGTCATCAGTGGCTCAGCCGTAACGTTATGAAGCGACGAGAATACTTTTTGTACGCGAAGAAAACAAAAATAACGACTTTATTCAACAATTCGTCTCTTCTGTGTCTCTCCGCATCACCGTAGCGCCATTTTAGAGAATATCCGCTGAACGCAAGCAGCGTATGCTCTTCTGTGTCAGCCGTGCTGCGCAGATGCGCTGTTTTCATTCAAATCAAAGCGTAAATAAACATAGCAAACGTATCCTTGTGTCGCGGCTGACACAGAAAAGCGTACGCTGCTTGCGTTCAGCGGATATTCTCCAAAATGGCGCTACGGTGATGCAGAGAGACACAGGAGACGAATTGTTGAATAAAATCATTATTTTTGTTTTCTTCGCATACAAAAAGTATTCTCATCGCTTCATAATGTTACGGTTGAGCCACTGATGACAGATGGACTATTCTGACGATGTCTTTCATACTTTTCTGGACCTTGACAGTGTACTTAGCGTACGCTGCTTGCGTTCAGCGGATATTCTCCAAAATGGCGCTACGGTGATGCAGAGAGACACAGAGGAGACGAATTGTTGAATAAAATCATTATTTTTGTTTTCTTCGCATACAAAAAGTATTCTCATCGCTTCATAATGTTACGGTTGAGCCACTGATGACAGATGGACTATTCTGACGATGTCTTTCATACTTTTCTGGACCTTGACAGTGTACTTATCTTAAATTGTGTTCCGAAGACGAACAAAGCTTTTACGGGTTTGGAACGACATGGGGGTAAGTGATTAATGACAATATTTTCATTTTGAGGTGGAGTATCCCTTTAAGACAGTCTTGAGTATGATACAGTTGTAAGAGAGGGACCATACATTCAGGTAATGTAAATCCCGGTTACCCATTTATTAGTGTGTGGAAAATAAAATGATTTCTCCTATAGATTTGGCATGCTGAGGAGATGTTGTATGATATCTTGCCATGGTGACTGAGATTTGTTTGTCCCTCAATAAACCATGCCCTCCATAAATAAAGAGCCGCCAATTGTATCTATGATGGGAAACAATATAAATATATAATTTTTTTTTTATAAAAATGGCATCAAAGGCTTTGATCAGTCTATCTGATCAGAGCTCATGCACTAAGATTAAAGTGACTCTCAATTAGTAATAACCTTCTGAAGCACAATTCTTATTCATGTAGGAGTATAGGATATTGCTTTGTGGCTTTTTGCATCTCTTCAATGAAATTCTCAGGGACAAAATAACCTATATTTCTGGCTTCCCAAACTCCATTTATCTTACCTGAGTGAACTGTGCCATTATCCATCTTCCCTTTATATCCTGACTTTCACCACTTTTATACATTTCATAAAGAAGGACGCTGTCAGCACATTTATGTTATTTATAGATGTGTTTGTGTTACTGTAGATTTGAGCAAATGGTTTGAAAACATTCTGCTGTGGTCTGCAGACCAATCCTTTTTATTTACAAAGCTTGTCACAAGAAGAGATAGCTGTATATTTCAGTTTAGTTTCACAGTCAGAAATATAATACACTATTGGACATTAGACATTAAATATAAGACATCACATCACAAAATAAAGCTTTTTTTCTGGTTTATTGTCTATGAACATTCCATGTAAATTTATATAATTGTTGAATGCAATTCTTTTTATACACTGATTTGGATCATGTAAGTCATCTCCGTATGACTGGTTGTGATTTCAAAGCAAACATTTTCATACTTAGCAATAATGTGCACTGATAAATCATGTAAAATAAGACCAAATAATGTAGAAAGTTAATAGGGCCACTTTTGACTCACAAAATATATTTAAAAAAAGTTTTAGCAAATGTTTTCATATGGAATAACTAAAGGATCTATGGTTTGCACTGACATTTTCCATATGTCATGTGCGCATGGTTCATGTCTGCAGTATATGCCCTAAGCCTTTAGTATGAATTAGCCTTCTGTCTTATTCCTCTTTCTGTAAGCCTGCAAGAAAATGTAAATTGTTCTCTGTATCTAATGTCAAACGTCATATTTTAGGTCATGCGGTTGCACAGCAAATACGCCAAATGAATTATTTATACATCTTGCACAATAGAGCCCAAAACACAGGTAGCCTAATATTCATCTGCAAATTCACAAACGTTGCGCCACTTTATTCACTAAACACCCGAATTTCAAATAACACAAACATCATGTGGAAATGAACACTCTTAGCAGGCTCAATTCATTTTTATCTTATTTTCAGATATTTTATTATCAAATTTCACTATAAAGCTTTGTGCAGCAGTTATCCTTAAATCCGATCCTCGACTGATTGCTCGTGTGGAGTTCTGAGTGTCAGTTCACTGGATTTTCAGACGGATTGTCTTTTTCAAATATAATTCTCTGACTGTCTGTGTATTAGTGATGGGGATTTTCAATGACTCTTTCTCAAGTTACATCATACACCAGTAGGTGGTGGCAAGTGACTAGTCTTTTGAGTGAGTTGTT